GGAAGGAGTGAGGGGGTGGGGTAGAGAAAAAAATCATACTGCTCCCAGCTGCTGTTGGAAGGAAGGAGAGAGAGGACTAACTGAACCTCATATTCATTCAATGAAATCCTTCAATAACAAAGCTTCTTTTCTCAAAGTAGGAAGCTGCACCCAGTAGCAGAATGGGGGACAGTAAGGTGTCCCTCTCAGTGGGTATGTAGTAGTGGTGGCAGAAGACAAAGCAGGAGTCCCTGCTGAGGACAAGACGGGAAAGGCTTGGCTGAGAGCAAAGCCACAAGCCTAGAGCTTTCACACACCAGTCCGGTCTATGGCCCTTGCTAGAACAAGTGCAGCCAGAGCACCACAATCCAAGCCTTCCCAATTGATCGGAAGGAATGTACATGGTTCTGACTCCTGCCAAGTCCGAAGACAACATACCAAAACCCAAAAATCAAACCAACAAGCCAAAAGCCCTGCCATTGTTAGTATTTATATTGCTGAGGGACTTTCTGGTCACTTTAGGGACCCAACCTAGAAATGAGAATGTTTTCATATATTCTGGAAGTTTTTAGTTAAAGCCTGAATGTTCTCCCTGCCTTCTCCATTCTGTAAGACAATAAGATATATTTGGTTCAAAAAGACAAATGGACCATAAAGGAATGAAAGGATGTCTAATTCACTAGGAAACATCAGATACAAATTACCCCAAAAATTCAAATTCACTTTCATCCACCAGTTTAGCAAACACTAAAAATAAATAATATCTAATATGTTCAGGGAGTGAGGAAGAAGATACTTTCTACTTATTGGTGGGAGTATAAGTTGGTACAGCATTTTTGTAGGAGAATTCAACATCATCTATCAAAATTTGTCATAGTAATTCCATTTCTATGAAGAAAGGTACTTCAAGAATAATCATAATTGTGTACAAATTTTCATATGCATATACAGTATATCTCACTGAGATTTATCCCAGAAATGCAAAATGTGTTTAATATATGAAAATCCATCAATGTAATACAACATACAAATATAATAAAGTACCAAAACCAAAGATCATCTTAACAGAATCTGAAAAAGCATTTGACAAAATCCAGCACTTTTTCATGAATTAAAAAAAAACACCATGCCAGGGTTTAGCTCAGTGGTACCGCCGCCAGCCTCACAAGGGCAAGGTCCTGAGTTCGATCGGCGGTACCAAAAAACAAGAAGGGGCCAGAGATTTAGCTCAGTGGTTTTGCCGCCTGCTGTGCAGGCACAAGGACCCGAGTTCAATCCCCGGTACCAAAAAAAAAACAACAACAACAACAAACTAGGAATATAAAAGAGCTTTCTCAATTTGCTGAAGGACATCTGAAAAATACACACACGGCTAACATCATACTTACTGGCAAAAGACTGAAAGTTTTCCTCAAGATTAGAGACAGGCTGTTGTTCTGATCCCTTCTGTTCAACACTGTGCTAGAGGTTCTAGCCAGACAAATTAGGAATGAAAATAAAATAAAAGGCATCCAGATTACAAAGCAAGAAATAAAACTATCTCTATTCGCAGACGACATGATCTTGTGTAAGAAAACTATAAGGGATTACCAAAAAATCTATTAGAACTAATGAACAAGTTCTGCAAAGTTGAAGGATACATATATTTTAAAAAATCACTTGTATTTCTACATACTTTCAGTGAAAAATCCAATTACAAAATTAGGAACACAATTCCTTTGTAATAGCATCAAGGAGAATAAAATACTTTGAAATACATTGACCCAAGGAGGTACAAGAAATGTACACTGAAAACTACAAAGCACTGTTGAGTGAAACTAACAAAGACCTAAATAAACAGAAAGATAGCCTGTGGTTATGGACCCAAAGCAAGTTATTAAGATGACAGTATCCCCCAGGCCTTCTGCAGAGTGAACACAATCCCCGCATGTGCAGAAATTGACAAGTTGATACTAAAATTCACACGGACATACAAGGAACCCAGAATAGCCAAAAGAATTTTGAAAATGAAGGTCTGAGTTTAACTCACACTTTCTGATTGGATAACTGACTACAAAGCTATATGAATCAACTCAATGGAAGAAAGAATTTCAATAAATGGTGCTAAGCCGGGGATTTAGCTCAGTGGTTCCTCCACCTGCCTCGAAAGTGCAAGGTCCCAAGTTTGATCCCCGGTACAAAAAAAAAAAAAAATGGTGCTAAAAAACTGTACATGCACATACAAAAGAATTCATTTGGATCCTTACCTACTACCATATACATAAATTAACTCAAAATAGATCAAAGGCCCTAATATAAGAGCTAAGACTATACCACTCTTAGAAGAAGAAATAGGAATAAATCTTCATGACTTTTGATTAAGCAAGAGTTTTCTTATAGGATACTAAAAGTTCAGACAGGAAAGAAAACATAGATGAATTTGACTTCAACAAACCTTTACAGAAAATTCTCGTGTTTCAAAGAACAGTATGAAAGTTAAGGAGGGTTTCGGGAGGCACTTTGTTCCCAGTGTCTCAGCAGACCTCCCTCGTCAGTTACCAGCTGTGCAGTTCTCTAGAGAGCCTAAGACATCATGACCAAATGAGAATACAAAGATGGAGGTCTCCTGGACAGGCCAAGTGGCTACCCAGGAGAACAAAAGGCAGTAACTCTTCAGTGTGGTCTCCATTCCCCAGAGCCCAGCATTCAATCTCTCAGTGCCCTTCCTGCTGCATCTCTGGCTCCCTTTTCCTGAATTTCCAAACTGACCATTGCAAGCTAGCATTCTTTCTTTAGATATATACCCTGTGTTTTGGGGAAGAGTCAAGCCCTGCTCTTCTTACTTTTTTTATGTGTACAATTCTTCAGCATCAACAAAAATCCACAGACATGCCAAGGCACTGTGCTAGGCACTGTGGACCTGAGAGATACTTTATCTAGGGACATTTACAAATCTTTGTATTTAGATCCATTTGCTAGCTACCTAGAAGCTTGAGACCAGATGGCCAACATACTTGGCTCCTTGGGCTCGCCGCTCCAGGTTTCTGTCTTCTTCTCTATGTGTAGATTTTATGCATCTTCTCTCCAAGTTCTAGGAGTGCCTCAATATGGCTCCGAAAGATCCCTTCCAGGCAGAATTTTGCCCACAACAGTACAAAGAACACCTGGTCATATTACAGTAGGCAACTAGTATGCATGTTTATGTGCTGTGAAATATCAAGTGCCTTAGATGCATTATCTCATTTGATCCTTAAAACAACCCTCTTCAGTAGACAGTGTTGATGGTCCCATTATATAGATGAGGAATCAGGAACACAGGGAGGGCAGGTAACTTTTCCCAGTGTCACACACTCAGTAACTGACTGAGCTGAGGCTTTAACTCACTTCTGTCAATCTAGAGAAGGCATGCGCTCAACCACAATGCCAGATACTGCCTTATTGCAATGTTCATAGCATGTTCGGTCATCCTGAGTTATCAAAAGGAAACAAAAATATCCCCAGTGCCTTTTGGGAAGACAAAAAAATTGCAATATACTTTTTAGAAAGACTTCTATCTGAAGTGAATAAAAATATTTCAAGCACTTGTGCTTAAAAGAGTAAGCACTAGTTATCAGAGAAATCCCTAACAATGCCAAACCCAGGAGGTGTTTCTGTATCATCCAGTATTCTTAGAACTGCAAAGACACTCGGTACACCTTCTGGTGATCACAGCTTCAGAGCGTAGAGATCATTGGCAACTTCACCAGGTTTTTATTTGAAAAATTAAAAAAAGAAAATACCATGATCTGTTCCATAATAGACATAATTCCATACAGGATATCAAGTGCTGAAGTCATATAGGAAGGGGTGAGGGGGGAGAGAGAACTCAAATTGAGCAATAGGGAAAACTGGAATAAGATATTTTGAGACAGATGATGTAGCTTGATGCTAGGGCTAGATTTAGTTAAAAATGTGAAGGAAGAAAAGTTTATTTGGCACAAAGCTAGTACTGCCAATAATAATGGCAATAATAACTTCCAATTGAAGAATACACTATGTTCCAGGCACTGTCCTGGGGGCCATAGTCACATGAATTAATTGAAATGTTATACCAATCCTGTGAGATAGGTGGCACTATTGCTCCCATTGTACCCGTGGGAAGACCCTGGGAGAGAGGCATAGTTAAATAACATGACTGAGGTCACAAAGCCACCGGTGAGAACTGATATTTACACCCAAGAAGTCTAGCCCTAGAGTCCATGCTTAAACCTCTCTGACTGTTCACAGATAACACTGGTCGTGCTTCTCTATTAACACAGGACATTTCTGGCCCTAGCCCTGTGCTAAGGCTGCTACATAAATTGTCTCACAGATTGTATGAGGTTAGCACTCTTTGCCCTAAGTTATGCAGTTTCTCCTTTGATCTTTTAAACAACCCCATGAGGTAGCTATTATTGTGTCCATTTTATAGGCAGAACCACTGAGGCACGGAGAAGTTGTAACTTTACACATCTGGGGAAGTATCACCTCCTTTTCAGCAACACCACCTATACCTGTTGGGGTCTTACTGTGCTGTTTCTACCTCAGGCCCAGGTTCTCTCAGCTTTTCACGCCCTCTGTTCTCAGATGTTAATGGGAAAGAGAGACAATGGCCTTTTCTCTCTTCTCAACTCAGGGAGATTACAGTGACCCTCTGGAGTGGCCAGTGGCCCGCTTTGGGTTCCCCTTAGTAGGGAAGCACACCCCCAAAAGGTCTGTTCCCAGAAGCCTGCCTCACATCCTCACAAGCTCTGTCACCGGAAGCCTGTTTTCAAGACTTAGATGCTATATGCAAAAGGCATCATTTTTTGAGTTATGATTTGGGTTTGTTTGGTTTGCAGCTGGTTTCTGGAAAAGACAGACACCAACAATCCACCAATCTCAGCTCTGGTTGCTGGAAAACGCCACCTCCGTTTAGCTTAGTGGCCACTGGCAGTGAAAATCAACCAAGTGCTTTTCCTATCAACCTTTATTAGCAGAGGAAAAACTAATGACAATGAGTAAGGTGAGCCCGGAAGCCTTACCTCCACTTGAAGGGGCACACATCCTTTCAGGAATTCACTGATGTTGCTGACGCAGTTGGCTTCGGTTTGGGGCTCCAGACAATACTAGAGAAACATAGTCACATGTCACTTGGAGATGGTCATCCCATGCCCAGCAAGCCATATGCATCCTTTGCTGATAACTAGATAGGGCAGGGGGCAACCGTGCTGTCAATCCAGGAAGAGAAATAACCACTGAAGGAAGTGATGCAAACGACTGAACCGTTGGTTTTTGTTTCAAATGTCACTAAGCCATTTCTACTTACAAATGTTTTCTCATGTCTTCAGGCAAGGCAGGCGAGACCAAGTGAGAGAGACCATGACACTTCAGGGGAAGGGTTCAGTTATTGCTTTCAAGCAAGAAACACATACTTCGTGCCTCCCCTTTTCCTCCCCATGATAACTTATTGAAAGTATATTTCGCCTTAGCTGTTCTCTACATTTGGTCACATTTCTCTATATTTTAGCACTGTTTCATAAGCTTAAGAAAGTATTAGTAATTTTACTTGCTCAATAAAAATATAAACTGGTTCAAGAAGGCAACAAAAGCTATACTCACAGTCATGTTCCATGATGATTTTCAGAAAATAATTTTAGGACCCTATCTTTAGGCTTATTTAAAGTGCCTGCTTTAAAAATTATTCATTGTTATGATCATGGGTTTCCAACATTTAAAAAAAACCTTCAGTTTTTTTAAGAGGGCAAGTTAGTTTCACTTTGAAGACATGTTGCATTCGAAACATATACTCAGTTTCTCTTGTTTTTACAAACCTTATGTGACATTTTGGATTGTTTTTCCTAGCTGCTAAATAGTCCCTTCTTCAAAGGGTATTTTTTGAAAAGGAACTCTATATCCATTTTTAGGCAAACTGTCAATAAATAATATCAAGATCTGTTGTAAATCATTCCATTCTCCCAAAGACTTGTAAGTACCCCAAGTGCAAAACATGTCCGCGGTACACAAGGAAGTATATAACAAGTACCTCCACGACAGAGGGAACTTGTGATATGGGTGTTGTCCTGTCCTCTATTGCCAGCGGCGTAGGTGGTTTTTACCATACTAACATTGGGGGGAAACAATTACTAAAGCGTAACATTGCATTTTCCAGCTTTTTCAACCTACAAAAACAGAAAGAATGTCTTAACTCTTAGTAAGATATCAAAGTAGGAGATTCCCATGAACTGGGCAATAGAAATCTTGAGTTACATTATTGCTGCTCTCTGGTGGCAAAGCAATCCTGAAGATACTTCAAATTGACCTTACCTTTTCCACGGAGCCAGGAATAAGTCTGTTGATCAATTTGCATAGCACTACCCCATTTTTTAGCGAGGACTTCAAAAACTCCTCAGGATCGCAGATGGTCTTTTTGGGGGAATCTAAAACGCCGAGAGATATAAGCCACGTCACGATCTGCTCTTCTGGATTCATAACTGCGGATGGTAAGCTCTGAACAGCTCTCTGGGGCCGCTGCAAGGACTAAGCCACATCCGTGATTGCATCTGCTGATGTCTTCCTTTTTATGAGTTCTCCTCTGGTTCTTGCAGAGCAAAGGTTTAAAACAATTTTCCTTAGACAACAGTGGAATGCGCTCAGAACGTGGGATTTTAAAACCACAGAGATCACGCTCAAGATGTGGCAACAGATAAAAATGAATGTAAAATTCCCGGATAACAACGGTTTTCTTCTTCAAAACCTCCAAAACAAATTCATTAGGGTAAAAAAAGGAAGAAGAAACATATACAGGCACACACACACACACACACACACACACACACACACACACAAACACGCACACACCAAAGAACCCAAACGTGCAAGGAGCTGTAAGGAAAGGAAGTAAGGAGGACACTGGGGAGGGAGGAGAAATAAGGAAGCAAGTGCTTGTGGAGAACAGAGGTGAGCTAGCACTTCAGGGGACCTTGGAAATGAGACACTCCTGGGCCAGTCTGGGAAAATGCTGCCAATAAACAGTCTAGTCCCAGTGAGAACTAGCCTCTGTGAGGAGAAAGTGCCAACTGGCTCTTAGGTCAGACAGATCTAAGCCTTGCAGGGAGCTGTGCTGGCACAACAGAACTCGAGTTAGGGAGGCTGAGAAATTCCTCTGAGAAACAGTCCCGTGTCTTCATACTATCTCACAGAAATGCTGTGTGTCACGATCAGTCTTTGCAAAACACATTGAGTAGCATGGTGACTACGTGCCAAGCAAATGAAGACCATGCCTGGTGTCAGGCAACTCTGTGTATAAGCAGAGGCTAGAAGAATGGCATTTTACTTTGCAGCCAGAAAGCTATGTTTAGGGAAATAAGCTAAGGATAACATCTGACATCCTGTTTACTTGCATTCTTTAGCAATTCTTCTTCTGGACCTGGTTCCACTGCACAATCCAGCTGCGGTATCCTTAGAAAAGGCTCAGACAGAGTCACATAAGTGGGTAAAATACACTGAAAAACAGAACATTTGAGAACAAAAGAGCACTTGTCCACTGTCTACACCACAGACTGGAAGGTTCATGTTTCCCCAACAAGAAGCACTGCATTTAAAATATTGCTCTGGAAAAATAAGTTAGTCTGTAACAAGAGATCTCTATTATTCTCAAATATTTTCGGAACCAGTTAAAATAGTCTTACCATTGAGAAATTTAGAACAAAGCCCACTTTAGTAGTATAGCCTTATGTTGGCAAATGCACGGCCTTTACTACCCCCCTCATACATGGGAGACATCTGGTAAATCATAGCTCTTTCTCCTATCCCTCAGAGTCCTTTTCAACACAGCTTCAGGCATCTACTACCAAATAATCAGCTTAGATAATCCTGATAACCATTTTCAAAACTGCTCCTTCTTGCTCTGTCATAACACTTAGCACACTTTGCTATCATTTCATGTTGACCTGTCCCCTACACTGCAGTGTGCGCTTCCCAGAGTTAGTCTTGTCTGTCCTGTGTAACACCCCGTGCCCAGCAGAACGCTTGATAGATGTCCAAAAGTGCAGAGTGAATGAATAAATGAATTCAGACAGTATCCCTGGTATAGACATTATCTAATTATAACAAGAGCTTTTTGTTTGTTTTAATGGTATAAGATAAATACTTTTCCTTGCTAATGCCTTTTTACAACTTTATCAAGATACAATTGACAACATAATAAATTGCACATACTTGGGGTATATGATTTAATGGATTTTGACATATGTATACCCTTTTGATACAATCATGCACACAGTCTAGATAAATTTTTCCATCACTCTCAAAAGTGTCCTTGTGCCCTTTCAATGCCCTCTTCCCTTCCCTCCCCACTGACCCCCATCTAAGCAACCACCAATCTCCTTTCAGTGTCTTTAAGTTAGTTTGTATTTTTAAGAATCTTGTACAAATAAAAGTATATAGTATGGTGCTTTATTTATGTGTTTTCTTAACATTATCATTTTGAGATTCATCCATGTTGTTTTGTCTATCTATAGCTCTATAATAGGGATTTGACCTCCATATATTTGGGTTGGTATACTTATAAGGAAAATAAATACAGTGAATCAAAACTTTTAACTGACTTTGACCCATGCCAAATCTATGTAATGGAAACAAAAACAATCCATTTGCTGATAAATTCCCAAATCTGACTTACTCAAGTATATTTTTATATGTCATTTGGACATTTTTCCCAATTGGTCATCAAAATTTTCCTCTGAAGGCAAACAAAATCTGGCAGAATGGAGACAGCACATGTACTTTCTGATGAAGAACAAAGCTGAAGTAATTTCAGGAACCCAGCCTAGTCCAAAATAGGCTTGAGCCCACTGAAGCCACTTGGATGTCAGTGCACCTCATTTTGGACACTGGCTGTGGTGAATTACTATAAGCAATAAGGAAAAACCAGAAAGCCAAGCCACTGCCTCAAGGCAAAAGAGATAGTCCCATTAAGACAAAGACTGGAAGTTACAATTGGGATGGTATAATGTCAAGAAAGCTAGGAGCTCCAAAGCCAGCAGCAAGCAGCTAGGTGAAATGACTAATCATAAAACCCAGGCTGGCCTGGGAAGCAAGTGAAGACAGAAAGGAGCTGATGACTAGGGGAATAAGGGGCAGGGGTGTGGATACTGAGGTCACAGGAACACAAAAAGCAGGCTCCTCATGAGACTGAGTCTAGAACAGAAGTCGAGGCCCATACCTTCTAGGCTACTGAACCTGCCTCCGAGGGCTTGCACGCCTTCTCCCCTCATGCTAATGAACTCCCTAAGAGAGCACTGTGTGGTTGGTTTTCCCAAAACATGTCTGCTGTTGATATCCCTGCTTAAAAACATCCCAAAGGCTCTCCATTGCCTAAAGCAGTGACTGACAAACAAGAATGTTAATACTCTTGTCCTGGGAGCAAAAGAGGAAAAAGCAATGAGAAAATGGAGGATGAGCTAGAAAAGGTACCGTTTTATTCCAAAGAAAACCTACAGGAAATAACGTAAGTGTGAATATTTATTAAAACTGGGCCTGGGGATTTAGCTCAGTGGTTTCGCCGCCTGCTGTGCAAGCTCAAGGACCCAAGTTCAATCCCTGGTACAAAAAAAAAAAAAAAAATGCTGGTTTTTTTTCCAGTTCTTTGTATGTTCTAGATATTAGTCCTTTGTCTGAGGGACTACTGGCCAGGATTTTTTCCCACTCTGTGGGTTGTCTCTTTACTCTGTTGGTGATTTCTTTTTCAGAGCAAAAGTTTTTAATGGAGTGACATCTAGTTGTTGATTCTTTGTAGTATTTCCCGTGCAGGGCTGGGGGATTAGCTCAGTTGTTCTGCCACCTGCCTTGTGAGCTCAAGGTCCCGAGTTCGATCCCAGGGACCAAAAAAAACAAAAACGTATTTCCCTGCATTCTAGGTTTTGTTCGGGAAGTCATTGCCCACTCCTATGTCCTCAAGAGTTCTGCTTGTTCCCTCTTCCCGCAGATTGAGTGTTTTTGCTTTAATATTTAGATCTTTGACCCATTTTGATTTTAGTTTAGCCCATGGTGAGAGTCATGGGTCTAGTTTTAGTCTTTGGCATGTAGAAAGCCAGTTTTTCCAGCACCACATTTTTTTGGGGGGGTACCTGGGATCGAACTCGGGTCCTTGCACTTGCACAGCAGGCGGCAAAACCACTAAGCTAAATCCCCGGCCCTCCAGCACCACTTATTAATGAAGTTATCGTTCTTCCAGCAGACATGTTTGGTCCCTTTATCAAAGATAAAGTGGCTGACTTTGTTTGGGGTTGTTTCTGTGTCTTCCGGTCTGTTTCATTGATCTTTGGGTCTGTTTCTTTGCCAGTGCCATGCTGTTTTTATCACAGGAGCTTTGTAGTATAATTTCAAGTTGGGGGTTGTGATGCTCCCTGCTTTGCCTTCGTTGCCCAGAATTGCCTGTGCTATTGTAGGTCTCTTATGGTTCCAAATGAATTTTAAAATTGTTTTCTCCAATTCTGTGAGATATGCTGCTGGGATTTTGATCAGGATTGCATTAAATCTGTATAATAGTTTTGGAAATATGGCCATTTTCACTATATTGGTTCTCCCTACCCAAGAGCAAGGAATATCTTTCCATTTTTTTAGTATCCTCTTCTATCTCCTTTTTGAGTACTGTAGTTTTCAATGTAGAAGTCTTTTACTCCAGAACCCCCAAATAAATAAATATATGAAAAAATATTGAACTTCACTGATCATCTGAGAGATGCAAATTAAAACAATGCTGAGATTACATCTCACCCCATAAAGAAGAGTTAATATCAAGAAATCAGCCAACAATACATGCTGGTGGGGATGTGGGGGAAAAGGAACTCTTCTGCACTATTGGGAGTGTAAACTGGTGCAACCACTGTGGAAATCAGTGTGGAGATATCTCAAAAAACTAGGATTGGAGGTCCCATTTTACCCAGCTATTCCTCTTCTGGGTATCTTCCCAAAAGAATTAAAAGCATCATATCCAAAAATCTTTAATAAGATACTGGCAAATAGAATGCAGAAGGGGCCGGGGATTTAGCTCAGTGGTTCCGCCACCTGCCTCACAAGGGCAAGGGCTTGAGTTCGATGCCTGGTACCCCCCATCCCCCAAAAAAGACAAATAGAATGTAGAAGATCATCAAGAAGATCATACAACCTGATCAAGTGGGATTCATCCCAGGGATGCAGGGATGGTTCAACATATGCAAATCAATAAGGGTAATACACTATATCAATAGAGCCAAGGACAAAAACCATATGAT